TCTTGCGACGAGCCAATTAAGCACTTCCGGCTTTTAACAGTGACGTATGGACTCGCTCCGGCCCCGTATCTCGCGATGCGCGTTTTGAAACAATTGTCATTAGACGAAGGATCCGACTATCCTGAGGCCGTCCCGATACTGCGCGACTCCGTCTACGTCGACGACGCGCTTTTCGGTGGGGATGACGTCGCGTCGCTGATAAAAGTTCGCGAACAATTGACGGGCCTCCTTAAACGAGGAGGCTTTCAATTACGAAAATGGGCATCGAATTCGCCTGAGCTTCTTCGCGATGTCGTAACGCGTCAAGTCGACATGGAGGATCACCTCCTTCAACAGGACGAGACCCTTAAGGTCCTCGGAATTGCATGGCATCCCCACGACGACACGTTTCGCGTTCAGGTGGACACTTCGTTTCCGGTCACTCCGACGAAGCGCTCCGTCTTGTCAGTTATCGCTCGCTTATACGACCCCCTCGGCTGGGTAGCTCCCGTCGTCATTGTTGCAAAAATTCTGTTACAGGAATTATGGTTAGCCCAATCCGATTGGGACACCCTTCTCCCCGACGAATTGCGTCAGCAGTGGGAGACATACTACGATAATTTAGAGCAACTAAATAGTGTCCGGGTCCCTCGCTGGACCGGCCGACGAAGCACCGACCTCGACTTTGAACTGCACGGCTTCGCTGATGCCTCGAGCCGAGCTTACGCCGCCGTCGTTTACATTCGAGTCCTTCGCGCGCCCACGGACGTTCGAGTTTGTCTGCTCGCCGCGAAAACTAAGGTCGCCCCTTTAAAGACGCTCAGCATACCGCGTCTCGAGTTGAACGCGATTGTACTTCTGAGTCGATTGATTCAATGGGTTCAGACGACCCTAAATTCGCCCTCCGTACCAGTGTTTGGCTGGTCAGATTCCGCGGTCGCGCTGGCATGGCTGCGTAAGCACCCCGCGAGGTGGCAAACCTTCGTCGCCAATCGCGTCTCCGAGGTGCAACGTACACTGCCGGAAGCACGTTGGAATCATGTGTCTTCTAAAGACAACCCCGCTGACTGCGCCTCCCGCGGCCTGTCGGCGGAGGACCTGTCCTCTCATTCGCTGTGGTGGACAGGGCCGAGGTGGCTCGCCCGGCCGTCCGCGTCGTGGCCGACCGACGACCACTCTCTTTTTCTCGATCGGAACACCAATCAACGGGTCTCCGATGAGGCTCGCGTTTCAGTCGTCCTCCACGTTGAGAGTGAGGACGAGTGGGATCTAATTAACAAATTCTCAACATGGACTAAATTGATTAGAGTCACGACTTACGTGCGTCGCTTCGTCTCTGGAATAAAGCGCCGGAACCACGCGCGCGCGTCCCTCGTATTGACAGTTTCAGAACTTCGCGAGGCCGAAATATTTTGGTTCCGCTACGCGCAACGGTTGGCGTTTGCCCCGGAAATCAGAGCATTAAGCACAAATTCCTCTCTTTCGCGATCCACCCCTTTAAGGGCTTTGAATCCGTTCATAGATGAGAACGCCTTACTCCGTCTTGGCGGGCGGTTGCAAAACGCCGCACTCCGCTATGACGAGCAGCACCCGGT